CTGGTTGGCTGGCAGGCCTGCTGGCTGGCGGGCTTGCTGGCAGGCTTGCTGGCTGGCAGGCTTGCTGGCTGGCTGGCTGGCTGGCTGGCTGGCTGGCTGGCTGGCTGGCTGGTCGGCTGGCTGGCGGGCTGGCTGGCTGGCTGGCTGGCGGGCTGGCTGGCGAGCTGGCTGGCGGGCTGGCTGGCTGGCTGGATGGCTGGCTGGCTGGCTGGCTGGCTGGCTGGCTGGCTGGCTGGCTGGCTGGCTGGCTCGAGGGCTGTCTGGCTGGCTGGCTGGCTGGTCGGCTGGCTGGCTCGCTGGCTGGCTGGCCCCTGGTTGACTTATGGCTGGCTGGCTGGCTGGCTGGCGGGCGGGCTGGCTGGCTGGCTGGCTGGTTGGCGGGCGGGCTGGCTGGCTGGCTGGCTGGCTGGCTGGCCCCTGGTTGACTTCTGGCTGGCTGGCTGTCTGGCTGGTTGGCTGGCTGGTTGGCTGGCTTGCTAGCTGGCTTCTGGTTGACTTCTGGGTGGCTGGCTGGCTGTCTGGCTGGCTGGCTGGCTGGTCGGCTGGCTGGCTGGCTGGCTGGCTGGCCCCTGGTTGACTTATGGCTGGCTGGCTGGCTGGCTGGCGGGCGGGCTGGCTGGTCGGCCTGCTGGCTGACTGGCTGGCTGGCTGGCTGGCTGTCTGGCTGGCTGGCTGGCTGGCTGGCTGGCTGTCTGGCTGGTTGGCTGGCTGGTTGGCTGGCTTGCTGGCTGGCTTCTGGTTGACTTCTGGCTGGCTGGCTGGCTGTTCTAGTAGCAGTAGTAGTGCTAGCTGGCTTCTGGTTGGCTTCTGGTTGGCTGGCTGGCTGGCTGGCTGGCACCTGGTTGACTTCTGGTTGGCTGGCTGGCTGGCTGGCTGGCTGTCTGGCTGGCTGGCTGGCTGGCTGGCTGTCTGGCTGGCTGGCTGGCTGGCAGGCTGGTTGGCTGGCTGGCTGGCTGGCTGATTGGCTGGCTGGCTGGCTGGCTGGGAGGCTGGCAGGCAGGCTGGCTGGCCGTTTGGTCGGCTGTCTGGGTGGTTGGCTGGTTGGCTGGTTGGCTGGCTGGCTGGTTGGCTGGTTGGCTGGTTGGCAGCCAACCAGTCGCCAACCAGCCGCCAACCAGCCGAATGAACGTGGTTGAGTCGTGGTTGGTTCTGGTTGGAAATGCGGTTAGGGTTTAGGGTTTAGGGTTTAGGGTTTAGGGTTTAGGGTTTAGGGTTTAGGGTTTAAGGTTTCTGCGCAGAACCATCCTATCCCCCCCTCCTCAGGAGGTAGGGGGGGATGGATGGATGCGTTCTGTCCCACCCCATCCACCCAGAGTCATTGCTTTTAGGGTTTAGGGATCTACCCCCCACGCTCCCCCCTATCAAGGGGGGAAGGAGTGCTGGCGTCAGCCTGGGTGAGTGATGTGCGTCCCAGAAACACGCGTGAACTGTAACAAGCGGGTCGGGTCGGGTCGAGCGCACTCGAGGGTTCGCCCGACCTCAACGTGCTTTGCATAGCATTGTGGTGGTTTACATAGCGGAAATAAAAATCCCCATAGCAGGCTCGATGAAGGGGCGCGCCTGGGAGCACGCATGATCAGTTTATAATATTTCTTGCATGGGATTGTGATGGTTTACGTAGCGGGACGTAAAGATCACCATAGCAGGCTCGATCCAGGGGCGCGCCTGGGATGCCGCATGATCAATTTATAATATTTTTTGCATAGGAATGTGGAGGAGGCCGTGAAGATCCGCATAGCAGGCTCGATCCAGGGGCGCAGGAAACACGCGTGATCAGTTTATATTATGGTTTGCATAGGATTGTTTCAGAGCGGGACGTAAAGATCCCCATAGCAGGCTCGATCCAGGGGCGCGCCTGGGAGCATGCATGATCATTTTATAATATTTTTTGCATAGGATTGTGGAGGGGGCCGTGAAGATCCGCATAGCAGGCTCGATCCAGGAGCGCGCGTGGAAACACGCGTGATCAGTTTGTATTATTTTTGCATAGGATGGTTTGCATAGCGGGACGTAGAGATCCCCATAACAGGCTCGATCCAGGGGCGCGCCTAGAAGCACGCGTGATCACTTTATAATATTTTTTGCATAGGATTGCGGAGGGGGCCGTGGAGATCCGCATAGCAGGCTCGATCCAGGGGCGCGCGTGGAAACACGCGTGATCAGTTTAGTTTATGTTTTGCATAGGTTTGACATAGCAAACGTAAAGATCACCATAGCAGGCTCGATCCAGGGGTGCTGGGGCCGTGAAGATCCGCATAGCAGGCTCGATCCAGAAACGCGCTTAGGAGCGCTGGGGGAGAGCTCTGGGGGGGAGCTCCGGGGGAGAGCTCCGGGGGAGAGCTCTGGGGGAGAGCTCTGGGGGAGAGCTCTGGGGGGGAGCTCTGGGGGAGAGCTCTGGGGGAGAGCTCTGGGGGAGAGCTCTGGGGGAGAGCTCTGGGGGAGAGCTCTGGGCTCTGGGGGAGAGCTCTGGGGGAGAGCTCTGGGGGAGAGCTCTGGGGGAGAGCTCTGGGGGAGAGCTCTGGGGGAGAGCTCTGGGGGAGCTCTGGGGGAGCTCCTTTGGGGAAGAGCTCTGGGGGAAAGCTCTGGGGGAGAGCTCTGGGAGGGGGAGCTCTGGGGGAGAGCTCTGGGGGAGAGCTCTGGGGGAGAGCTCTGGGGGAGAGCTCTGGGGGAGCTCTGGGGGAGAGCTCTGGGGGAGAGGGGAGCTCTGGGGGAGAGCTCTGGGGGAGAGAGCTCTGGGGGAGAGCTCTGGGGGAGAGCTCTGGGGGAGAGCTCTGGGGAGAGCTCTGGGGGAGAGCTGGGGAGAAGCCGAGCGGTATCCCGAGCATCCGGCCGAGGGTTAGGGGTTATCATTGTGCAAGCGAAGCACCGCCTCGGGCCGGCAGGCCTATGGTCGCGGTGAGCTCGACTTGCAGCTCGCTCTCACTAGCAGATCCTTACAGGCGTGGCGGTGCGCGCCCCCAGGTCCGCGCCTGCAGTTTAGGGTTTAGGGTTTAGGGTTTAGGGTTTAGGGTTTAGGGTTAGGGTTTAGGGTTTGGTTTTAGGGTTTAGGGTTTAGGGTTTAGGGTTTAGGGTTTAGGGTTTACTGGCTAACTGGCTGGCTGGCTGTCTGGCTGGTTTGCTGGCTGGCTGGCTGGCTGTCTGGCTGGCTGTCTGGCTGGTTTGCTGGCTCGCTGGCTGGCTTGCTGGGTGGCTTCTGGTTAACTTCTGGCTGGCTGGCTGGCTGTCTGGCTGGCTGGCTGGCCGTCCGGCTGCCTGGCCGGCTGCCTGGCTGGTTGGCTGGCTGGGCCCTGGTTGACCTCTGGTTGACTTTTGGCTGGCTGGCTGGCTGTCCGGCTGGCGGCGGCGGCGACGACGACGACGACGACGACGACGACGACGACGACGACGACGACGACGACGACGACGACGACGACGACGACGACGACGACACGACGACGACGACGACGACGACGACGACGACGACGACGACGACGACGACGGCTGGCTGGCTGGCTGGCTTCTGGTTGACTTCTGGCTGGCTGGCTGGCTGTCTGGCTGGCTGGCTGGCCGTCCGGCAGCCTGGCTGGCTGCCTGGCTGGTTGGCTGGTTGACCTCTGGTTGACGTCTGGTTGACTTTTGGCTGGCTGGCTGGCTGTCCGGCTGCGGCTGGCGGCGGCGGCGGCGACGACGACGACGACGACTGCGACGACGCCGACGCCGACGACGACGACAACGACGACGACGACGACGACGACGACGACGACGACGAACGACGACGACGACGACGACGATGACCAAACCACGATCACGGCTGGTTGGCTGGCTGGCTGGTTGGCTGGTTGGCTGGTTGGCAGCCAACCAGCCGCCAACCAGCCGCCAACCAGCCGAATGGCCGTGGTTGATTCGTGGTTGGTTCTGGTTGGAAATGCGGCCAAAACCCGTGTAAGTGGTGCTCAAAATACACATGTTTTGCCCGCATTCTGGTTGGGTCTCGGTTGGGTTTTGGTTGGAATTGGGATGAAGTTGCTCTTACACGTTGTAAAGCCTCCCCCTCACTACTACTACTACTACTACTACTACTACTACTACTACTACTACTACTACTACTACTACTACTACTACTACTACTCCTACTACTACTACGAGCTGAAGGCCATGGAATCTGCAGCCTATCCTAAGTGGTGGTTGGAAAAACGCAGGAAAATATACAGAGGCAGCAGGAGATGGGGACTGTCAGATATTTTCTCCTCCCTGGAGGAGATCTCCGCAGGCTCTCGGTTGTGTCTGGGTGCCCCCTGGGGTCTCCAGAGGCCCTGGGCCTCCTCGGCGGCCTCTGCAGGCAGGCCAGCAACAATTAGCGCGAGTGCTCGAGAGTTTACGGTAGGTTCGCGTCGTGTCGCTTGGCGACGGCCCCGCCGCCAGCGTTCAGCGTTGAATACCACCAGCGACCGAGAATCGTTCGATGTTGGATGGTCTGACGTTTCGGACACGGCCGATCGTTCAAGGTGGAACGATTCCCGATTGGTGTCAGGAACCACCGCCGAAGTCGTTACGGCACGAACACGCCGTATTGTCAAGACGCCGGAATAATGACCGCTTTTGGTTCGGAAGTGGTTCGCTGATCCTTAGGTCATTCCGTTGCTCTTCCTCTAGGCTCTTTCGTGCATCCAGTCGCTTTGGGCGACGAACGGGGGGGGGGGCTTCGTTCGTTTTGTAGCGTTCCTTATCTTAGCAGCCCTTCTGTACTGTACCCATCGGTCGTTGAAAGTAGGTATTTTGGGATTCCCAGATTCCAATCTACTTTCAGCGCCTTCCTACTTCAAGAGTCGAGTGGTTTTCCCTCTTCCTTCCTCTTCAGGAGGCGTGCGGAAACCCAATATATTTCCAACGCCTTCCTACTTCATGTTTCTACCTACTTCTTCCGACCGATGGGTACTTCTCCTGCTCCGACTCCGCCTCTCCACCCCGTAATCATCGCCCCATCGCCGCGGCTCTTCCTGCCCCCTGCCCCGCCTGCCGAGGCAACCGCATCTCCTGGGATCGCACGGAGGAGGAGGTGCGCTCCCGCCGCGAGGAGCCGTCCCGTTTTCGGCGGCGACATCCGAGCCCTACCCTACTCCAGATTTCGTTCTAAAGGGAGGGGGGTCTCATTTCGGGGGGGGTCTCTTCCAGGCTATCTTGGAGGGCGTGGGGGGGTCTGGGGACGATGTTTTGGAGGGTTCTCCCACGGGGGGGGTCTAAAACTTATCGTCTGGGAGGGTTGAGGCCCCCCTCCCTTTTATTACGAAATCTGGAGTACCCTAGCCGATCAACGAGTCAAGCACATCGATGGGCGGCAGTGGTCGGGTTCGGAATTCGCCGACCATGTTGCGAAAATCGAGCCCTGCCTGGGCCTCCCATCGACTCAGGAGAATCGATGGTCGACGGTGGAAGGGTTCGGTTGTCGCCGCATGTGTTTTCGAGGAGGAGGCGGAGGAGGGAGGGAGGGAGGATAGATAAGGGGAATCATGAACCGCGGTGCAGCCGGGGCCCTGAAGAAGGAACCCTCTTGGTTGGGGAGGGGCTCCGCGCTCCTTAAGTGTTTCACAGCTTGCCTCAGGTTTTCTTTCTGTTTTCAACAGGAAATCGAAGTTCAACTTGTGGAGAAAAGGGGCCTCGTTCCTTATGTAGGGTTCCTTCGGTCACCGCCCCGACGGTAGGATGGGGGAGTGGAGCAGCGGCGGCGGGGGAGAAGGCATCCAGGGACGGGTAAGAGGGACGGAGGATAGGGGAAGGAGTGACGGAGGGGGGGGGGAAGAGGGTGAAGGAGTGACGGAGGGGAAGGAGTGACGGAGGGGGAGCGCGAGGCACCAGAAGTGCGTTGAAACGTTGGCAGACGCCGGATAGCAACATGGACCCGCCTGCCCCCAAGGGAAGCCCAGGGCGTGGCGGAAGGCGGCAGCCCCAAGAATCCGCCACCAGGCGCTTCAGGGCGTGGCCGAAACGCCAGGAGATGACCGACTGGGGCAACCGCGAGCGCCGCGCGCCACCTCACGCTCTACGGCGTTCAGCTGCGGTTTGCCCGCCGCTTCGATAAGGGCGCTGACGTCGTCGTTCGACGAGAGCCCGACCCGCGCCGCCAGGGCGTGCATCGCAGTCACCAGGTTGGCGTTCACGACGTGGCCCACGGGCTGCAGCTTCTGCTGCGCTGCCACGCCAACCTCCACAGGCAAGGGAACAGCCTCCGCACCGCCGCACCGCTCACCGCCGCGCAAGCAGCAGCTGCGGCGGGCTCCGCCGAGGACGCACAGTCTAGCACCATCGCAACAACCGGCTGGAACCGCTTCCGCAGCCGCTGCATGCAGGGCGGCAAGGCGTCGGCCCAGATGTTGTTGATCTCCTCGCCCTCCATGGCAGCAGGCGCACGGCGCCGCCAGGAGCTTCGGCGACTGCAGCCTCCGCGAGCTCCCCAGCCGCGGCGCTCCGCCTTCCCGGCCATCGCGAGGCGCAGCGAGCAGTTCGACTGCGCGTAAGAGTGACCCTTCGCCGGAGTGACCTTTGGTGCAGTCCCAAAGGGGGTCGGGTGATTTTTCTTGTGGAGTGAGCTTGACCTCGCGTCGGCACCCGCATCGTGTGATTACGCTCGCATCTGAGCAAGCCAGGTTTGGGCCAACCCCTTGCAATCGACAGCAACGCATACGCGTCGCACCCTGCAGTTTACATTGGTTACCCGAGGGGGAGCCGGTCGACCAGACGGCGCATTTTCCGGCCCGGGACCAGTCTTGAATTCCAGCCCAAGTCCCAAAACGTCGCGCTTAAATATCTTTGGATATCTCTGGATATCTTCGAATATCTTTGAATATGTGTTTCGAACCAATGGGGATCTTTACTACAATCGGAGGTTGGGGGGTGAGATCGCAGTGGAACGGAGACCCCCAACCAGGAAATCGTTTCGTGTCGTTCGTGTCGTGCGTGCGGGCGAGGCGAACCTGCGTGGGCGCGCGAGAGGAACGAACCCGCCGCTGCTAGGGCGAAGTCAAGACAAATGATTCTCCCCTCCCGCCCGTCCGGCGGTGGCTCGCGATGTCTCGCGGTGTCCCTTTTGTGTCCGCCGTTTTAGGGCGAAGTTAAGACAACTGATTCTCCCCCGCGCGCCCGTCCGGCGGTGGCTCGCGGTGTCCCGCGGTGTCCCGTGGTGTCCCGTGGTCCCGTTGGGTGAGATCGATAGGTGGGTCGATGGTAAGACCGATGGTGAGATCGATACTGAAATCGATGTGGTGCTCCGAGGTGTCCCGTGGTGTCCCTTGGTGTCACAAGAAATGATAGTGAGATCGATATTGAGATCGACAGGTGTCCCGTGGTGTCTCGTGGTGTCCCGTCGAATGAGATCGATCGTGAGATCGATACTGAGATCGATGTGGTGCCCCGAGGTGTCCCGTGGTGTCCCAAAAAGGGAAATCGAATGTCAGATCGACATGTGTCCCGTGGTGTCCTGTGGTGTCCCGTGGTGTCCCGTTGAGCGAGATCGATAGTGCGATCGATAGTGAGATCGATGTGATATCCCGAGGTGTCCTGTGGTGTCCCGTTGAGTGAGATCGATACTTAGATCGATAGTGAGACCGATAGTGAGATCGAGAGGTGTCCCGCGGTGCCCCGAGATGTCCCGTGGTGGCCAGTGGTGTCCCGTGGTGGCCCGTTGAGCGTGATCGATCGTGATATCGATCGTGAGATCGATCGTGAGATCGACAAGTGTCCTGTGGTGTCCCGTGGTGGCCCGTCAACATTTGGTTTCACAGCGCCGTCACAGCGCCATTCGGGGCGCTCGAATTAAATCGGCGGAATTCCGCGGTTGCCCGCTGGCACGAAAAATCGGTCGAGTGGCGCCCCGCCGATCGTTGATGCGGCGCGGCATCGCCGGTTTGCGTGATTGCGTTGGGCTCTAATCGGCGCCCCTGACAGTTGAAGCCGCGCACCCAAGGTCACTCTAGCCGAGGGACACTCCTACGTGTAGTCGAGCAGTGTGGCAGCCGCCGCGCCGCGAGTTGCGCGCGCCGCCGCTGTCGGCGGACGCGCTTCGCGTTAGGCCGGGCATGTCCTCCTACAGGTGCATTTTGGGTAAGAAAACAAACTACCCAAAACATATTCAATAAGTCTTCTAACATGGTCAGAGAAATCGTCCCCGACTATTTTCGACTATTTTCGAATATTCCTCCTGCGGAGGGACACTCCCGACTTTTGCTTCGCGCCGTCCTTCACGTCGGCCACGCTATCAGCAGCCGCGGCCCAAGAGGGCCCCGAGTCGCCGAAGGATCGCTCCCAGGCGCCCAAGGAAACTTCCAGGCAGCACACGAACCGCTCGCCACCCAAGGCGCCCTGGGAAGGCCCCACGACGCCCACCAGGAGGGCCCCTGGAGCGGCCAACAAGTAGCGTTTCCTTCACTCATGCCTTCAACACGCTCTAGCGCACTCGCCCTGTCGGGCTGCCGACGCTTCAGGACAGCCCCAGAGGCCCCGAATAGCACGGTCGACACTGCCGAGCGGGCCACCGCCGCCGCCGCCGGCCGTCCGCCGCGGCGCGTTCGCCTGCAACGCCGCGCGAGTCACCGCATGCCTTCACCAGGCGACGTCGAGCGCGGCATGAACCCCACATAGGACTCCAGGCCTCGGCAGCCAGGCCGTCCGATCCTTTCGGCCGAAAGCGGAGCGGATGAGCAGGAGGAGGAGGAGGAGGAGGAGGAGGAGGAGGAGGAGGAGGAGGATTTTTGATTTTTGATTTGCTCGCGGGTGATCGCCTGCCAATCACTCCTGCCCGAAGTCGACGACAACGAGCGAGGGGCCCGAAAGGGACCGAAAAGGGGAACGAGGGACGGACCCAGGAACCCAGACACAGGACGAGCGAAGGGACCCGACCGAAGAAACAAGGGACACGAAACCTCGAGGGCCTCGAGCAGTGCACCATTCAAAAACGTCCAGGGACGGAGGCGTCAACACAGGACGCTTAAACAACGTTTAAAGTTGAACACTTCAAACCTCCAACTGCTCACCTCCTCCCTGCCACTGCATGCCTCCCCCACCCAATCGCTGAGCACAGACAGGTGTGAGGGAAAGACGGGAGGAGGGCTCAAGAAAACAACATTCGAGAGAAGGGGAAAACTCCCATTCACGAATTTATCACAGAGATCGATAGCAAGCGTAGCAGCCATCCAACCTCATCCTCCCCCTCATCCTCATCATCATCCCTCCCCACCCAGCCAGACAAAAGCAGACGGAGGGGGGGGAAGAGGAAGCTCTCAGGAGTCCCAGTAGGCACTCTGCCTACAATATCGGCACGCCATTGCCCGCTTCGTGCTGGATGAGCTCCGTAACAGAGCGCACGCACGACAGCGAGGAGCTCGATAAGGAACACCAGGAGATTCGACAGCAGGAGGAAAAACATCCTCTGGAGTAGTGGCCGCGCAGAGGCACGGCTTGTAGATCACCACCTTGTGCAGGGAGCCAGCGGCGGACACGCTGAACGTGGACATCGCATTGGCGGTGCCGTCGCCATCCGGAAAGGCATCGCCAGGCGCATCACGATCTGGCTCCGAGGGATATTCGGCCTGAAGCGAAACATCGCCGAGTCGACCAGCACGAACAGCTTCACGCAATTCGGCAGAGAGGTCGCCGCGAACATCCACGAGTCGCTCAGCAGAGGCATGACGAACTGGAGGCAAGCCGTCGTCAAGTCGACCAGCACGAACAGCTTCACGCGATTCGTGAGGAAAGTCGCCGGGGACATCCACGACACGCTCAGCAGCATCAGGAACTGGAGGCGAGTCGTCATCACGTGGACCAGCACGAACTGCTTCACGCGGTTCGGGAGGAAGGTCACAATGAACGTCCACGAGTCGCTCGGCGGAAACAGCACCATCAGCGCCATGTGGAACATTCAGATCGCGAGTAGCACCTGCAGGCAGTTGAAGCCGATGATGGGGATCAGTACCATCGCGAGGCTGGTTCTCCTCCTGCAGGTTCGGCGAGACGACGCCACCAGACTGGCCCAGCGTATTGGCGAGCTCCGTCAGGAGGAATTCTGATTTGACACGGTTGATGTGCCGAACGAGGGCGAAGCTGGTGTCGACGTGCTCGAGCCTCCGCCGCAACGACCGCTGGGACTTGTCTTTGAAGAGCGTGCGTGCGGCCACACCAAGGCCAGCGAAGTCGCGACCCGTGGTGTCGCAGATCATGCGCAGAGCCTGGCCATGGAGGCGAACAGTGAGTTCCTCGGCCATGGAAGCAACCGAAGATCAAAACACATCGAACCTAATACAAGGCGCGCCGCAGCTTGAGCCATCATGGCTACGGAAGGAGGAGGAGGAGGAGGAGGAGGAGGAGGAGGAGGAAGAGGAGGAGGAGGAGGGAGGCGAGACGGGGGCGGAGGAGAAGGGCACAGGATATTGAGATTGGTCGTCCGGGGCTTGCGCTAGCCCCGTGCTCACCAGCGAGAAGCAGGCGGAGGAGGTGAAGAAGAGGCGCAGTGAGCGTGTTTTGTTTTTCCTTGATTTAGGCCCCTCCTTCTGTTTTCCTCCCGCTGTTAATTAAAGCTGTGCGCGGCCCGCTTAGCTTCGACCGGAAGAGGCTCGCTCTCGACCCGCGGATCAAAAAAAAGTGTTTTGTTTTTCGTCTCCAACGTAACGTTCGTTACCCAGGCCCCTCCTCTCCTCCCCGGGGAACGCCAGCGATCGTGCTGGGGGGGAGGGGCTGGGCACCCCCCTACATGTGGGGGGCGGCCCCCCCCCCGCAGTGATGGCGCTGTGCTCACCGGCATGGCTTGGTCTGAACCGCACTCATTGGTGCTCACAAACGTGTGGTGGCGCTCGCAGGCTCCCTACCAATTGTGGCGCCGAGCTCCCAGGCATGGCGTGATGCTGAAAAGCATGTTCGGGTGCTCACATGCGCGTTGTGGCGCTTGCAGGCTGTTGCGGTGCGCATCGGTCAGGCGGACTCACTGACAAGGTGCCCATTCGGAGGGCGGCAGGTCGGTTTGGCGGCAAATGCAGAATGTGGGGGCTCTCTTCCCATTGGTCAGGGGTTTGTGGTCGTCGTCGTCGTCGTCGATGGCTCAACTACGGCAGGCTGGTTCGACCACTCTGCCTTCTGGTCAGTGCTCGGTTGCAGTGCGATGCAGTCGACGCGTCTATTAAGGATGCGCGCCTTCTGCAGGGTACCCTTTTGTCCTTCCATCTGAGCCGCCTGAGGAGTTGTAAATTGCGAGGTAACTTGCCTGCGGGGTAACTTGCTTGCGGTTCAAACTGCTTAGGTTGAGCCCGCCGAAGCTGCGGACCTTGTGTGCTATAGCTGTTCTGCTGAGTAAGGCCGTTAGCGGACTCCCGCTTCGTCTTCTCCCCCCCGACTCTAAAGGAGGAAGGGCAAATGCGAGATGCATCGAGCGTTTGTCCCCCGTCATTTCGGCCCGGTGACCGGCCCCCTATTTGGCTGTGCCTCTCTGAGGCGCACGATCATACATCGAGACATACTGGCATCATCTTTACTCTTGAGATGTATCGCCGCTCTCGCGGCTCCCTCCTACTTCTGGGACTATCGTTGAGACGGTACAACAGGGTTGGGCGTATGATGCGCCTGAGGCAAAGCATTTGGTTGGGCCTCCCGACCAGTTTCAATCTACGAGGGGTGGTGGAGGGATGGAGGGTCCAGGAGAACGAGAAGGGAGGTGGGAGCTTGGCGGGAGGAGGGGTGGCCACGAGGCAGGCAGGTCGGAGGAAAGACGGGGAAGGAGAGGGAAGGCGGCGGGAGGAGGAGGGGCACCCAAAAGAGGCGGACAGGAGGAGGGAGGAATGCAAGAGGAGGGAGGGGCAGACGGGGAGGCGGCAGAAGACTGGGGGGGCCCTTGGCCCTCCCCCTTCTCCCCGCGAGCAAATCTCTCGCCTCCTCCTCCGACCCCCGCCTAGCTCTTTCTCCACTCCGCCATCCCAACCTCCCTCCCTCCCTCCCTCCTTCCGCCTCGTAAGTGAAAGCAGGGAAGGAGCAGGAGGAGGGTGAGGTGGAGGAGGAGGGGAAGGAGGGACGAGGAGGGAGAGGTGGAAACGGCTCTTTCCCGTCGTACCGCACTGGTGGGATGGAAGGACGACGGCGACGGCCAATAGGGTCCAGGCGAGGGCGAGGAGGAGGAGTAGGAGCAGGAGGGGGAGTAGGAGGAGGAGGAGGAGGAGGAGGAGGAGGAGGAGCAGGAGGAGGAGGGGGAGGAGGAGGAGGAGGAGGAGGAGGAGGAGGAGGAGGAGCCCAGCCGAACTGGCCCCGATCGCGGCCGCCGGCCGCGCGCCCGCGCAGGAGCTGCTCGTGCTCTCCGCCGACGGGCTCCGAGAGATCAGGCGGGGATGGGGCGGGGCTGCGCGGGAGGGGAGGCAGGGGGGGCCACATGCGAACTCTACCCCTCCCCCCCACGAGTTCTGCGGGCGAGGAGGCGGAGGAGGAGGAGGAGGAGGAGGCGGAGGAGGAGGAGGAGGAGGAGGCTGGAAGGTTGGGGGGGGGGGCGTGGAGGATTGAGCTGACAGATGGCGGACGGTCGATCGGGCGTAAGGGGGGAGAAGATGGGGGAAGGGGCAGAAGGAGAGGAGGAGGACGACGACGACGGCGACGACGACGACGACGGTGAGTGGGAATGACGATAAGAAGGGGAGGAGGAGGAGGAGGAGGAGGAGGAGGAGGAGGAGGAGGCGAGGGAGGGAAGGCGGGGGGGTGCACCTGTTGGGTCGTCGTGTGTGTTGGAGAGAGAGAGAGAGAGAGAGAGAGAGAGAGAGAGGTGCGGCCTGCGGGAGGGGGGGGGGCGGCGAAGGTCTCTGGCAGGCTGGGCGAGGCCCGCCTCGGAACGCCTGCGCCCGGCACGCCTGGGGCGCCGGTGCTGGCCGATCTTGCGGCCACGCCTTCGCAGCACGCTCCGAGCAAGCAGTGGTACTGCTCGTGGGCGAACAGTCGCAGGCCTGGAGGTTGACACCCACACCAAGAGCGGCCGTGTGCCTCCACCGAGGGAAGACGATCCCGATCTCGGTGATGGTGGTAATATTCTGGCTGCCAAGGTGACCGAACTATTACCACCACCACCGAAATGTAGGCTCATCTTCCCCCTGTGGAGGCGACCCCCTGTGTTGGTGTTGGTGCCCATTTCCAGGCCTCCAAAGCGGGTCCAAGTCCCGAGCGGGTTGTGCCCGAGTGCGTGTTTTTGTTCGTAGTTTGACGCTGGTTTCGCCCGTGGATGTGGCGATCTTCAGAGGAGACGTTCGCGCGGTGCGACGTGCGTCACATGAGGGAACCATTCGGGCACAGTTCGGGCACCATAACTTACTTGGGCCCGTTCGCCCACGATGCTGCCTTGTCCAGCCGTTCCGTACGGCGGACAGTCTCAGGGCTGGCGAGACGTCCTCTCTCAGCTGTTTCGTTCGGTGTTCTTGCTCGATGGTCGATCGAGTCGGTGGCACCGCCCGCCTCTGGTGACCCCCCATTCGGTGGCATAAGCGGCAGGAGACGCGAGGGACTTCATCTTGCGCTGGGGCTGTGCCGAGGGAAGGCGGAGGGGAATAGAAGGGTCCATCACAGCTGAAGGGGGAAGGCAAGGGTGTGGTCGACCCGTCCCACCCCGCTAACTACCTTAGGCTCTGATGGTTTCAGTATCGTCGTCGTCGCTCGGGATAAGGAGGAAGATCGGGGGGCAGGGGGAGATGGAGGAGGAGGAAAAGGATGAGGCGAAGAGGCACAGGGGTAGAAGTGTCATGAAGAGCGGTAGGAACGAGGATCACGGGGGACGGGTGGAGACGAGGAGCGAAGGAGGACAGAGGAAGAGGAGTAGAGATAGGATCATACCCGGATCTCGGAGGCGTGAGTGGATTAGGGTTCAGGGTTCGATACGACCGGGGGTCAGCTAGAGCGCCAGATCTTCCAGGAACTTGCAAAGCCAGGGCTGCACCGACCCGGACGAGCGCGCAGCACTCTGCAGGATGTTGGAGCGCCCTGCAAAGTCCGGCTGGCCCCTGTTAGGATTGACCCTGGCCAAGGCGTGCCCGAATGGGGGTAGAGGCAGATAGCGAACATGTGTACGAATTGTGAGTTCGTCCGCGACCGAGCGAACGGATGTGGTGCAGACTTGGCAGCATCGCCATGATAGCGCAGTGTCCGCAATTGTTCGAAAAGAGTGTGTCTTGCGCTGGGAGAGATGACCTCAAAGAGCGCTCATACAACAGGCTGGGACAAGGACGCATAATGAAGGCGGGGCGATAATATGGTGCGCTAGGAAAGACAGCGACGTGGAGAGAAAACCAGTTATATATGAGAGTGTAGTTGCGCCCGTAGTGCGATCCGAATTAGGTGTCATGGGTTCTTGGTTTTCCGTTTTGGATTCGCAGCAGTTTCAAGGATCTCGGTTGTTTGGGTTGTTGTTTTTTGATCATTTGCTGTTCGTGGCAGAAGTTTGACCGCACCCAGTCATATTGAGCACGATTGAGCTGCGGGGCCTGCAGGAACATATGTTAGTGTGGAAGTAGAGGTTTGCGAAGAAGGGACCGCTCTGTCGCTCTCACTCTTACAGAAGATTTGACTAGCGAGGGTACATCTATAATCTATTGAGCAAGATAATCAGGAGCAGATGAGGGCGATGTTCTGTTGGGGAGGCACCCTTATTCCACCGTCGCGAGACTGGCGTTCGCAGACCTGGCGGGGCGCTTAACCTCGCCATGCCCTTAACCTGGCGGGGCGCGTCAGTCATCCGACTTCTGTTTGTGTGTGTGTCCATGCGGGCTTGTCGATTCAGCGCGCATTCGTGTATACACACGTACACACAAATATGTATGTATATATATATATGTATACACACACACACCTTTTTTTATTACCCTGGACCCCCCCCCCCGAAATCGGATCCCCCGAATCCCGGGGCCCTTGGACCTTCTGGACCTCCCTGGATCCGTGGCCCCGGGGATCCCATGGACGCCCTTGCAGGAGGCCCACCAGGCGTTTCAGAGCTCCTGGCAGCCCTTGCTGGGCCTAGGCAACGGACCCAAATCGGTCAGGAGGGCGGCCGAACTCCCCCCGAGGGCCTCAAGAGGCCTCAGACACCCACCAGACGTCCGAAGACGACCCAAAGAAGACCCCCAAGAGGCTTCCAAAAGGCAAAACAAATATTGATGTTCGAGGTGTTTGCATGATTTTGTGAGTGCCCTGTTCTTCGGTCTTCTGGGCCTCCGAGACCGCCCAAGAGGCTCGAAATTCGCCCCACAACTATCCGAAGGGGCTTCCAGATAGTCAAAGCCCCAAGACGGCACAACTGAGTTCCAAGATGGCCTAAGAGAGCCCTATGACCGCACAAGATGGCCCCAAGACACCCTCCGAAGCATTCCAAATCGTGACCCGGTCGTTCAGGGAGACCGCGGTTGGAGGCAGGGTGGCCCGAGGAAGCCCCCAGAGGCCCCCAGAAGACGCCCTGGAGGCCTCCAGAAGGCGTTAACCGCATGCCGATGATAATAAAGGGACCCCCCCCCCCTTCAGTGTTTAGAGTTGATTATCGTCGCCCTATACAAAATTCAAATTGGGCGGCGAGCGCTGAGGCCGAACTTCATGATCACCTCGAAACGCTATGTTGAGATTGCAATATCAAGCGAGGAGCTTGTCGAGGATGTCTCAAGCGAAACAAGCATAAACTCCTCTTCTTCTTCTTATTATCCTCTTCTTCTTCTCTTCTTATTATTATTATACTCTTCTCTTCTTCTTTTATATTTCTATCTGTCCCCACGCTCGCCTGAACTTGATTATCCCTGGGGTTGATTATCCATGGAAATTGAGGCACATGAGCTACCCTACACGAGCACTTAAAAAAATAAAGTTTCATAAAGCGCTTGTAATTAAAATTGATAGATTTGGAACTTTGGATTTTTCCTTTCTTGGTCCTCTTCTTCTTCTCCTCTCCTTCTTCTCTCTTATTATTATTATACTGTCCTCTTCTTCTTTTATATTTCTCTCTTTCTTTTACTATTATTATTACTTCTTCTCGCTCTCTCTCTCTCTCTTACTTCGAGATTATGCTGAGGTCTGCTGGGCTACTTTTATTATCTCTCCCTGAACCCCGAACTTTATTATCCCCTAGTGTTTATTCTCACGGGCATGAGGTTAGACAAGCGTGAAAAATTTCCGTGAGGCCCCCAGAGGCTCCCAAGGAGGAGTTTCCGCAGAAAGAGCTGAGGAGGATGGGGAATCATTCGCCCGATAGGGCGAGAATGAAGAAACATAAACATGGAGGCAGGATAACGAATAACATTGTTCTAACGGCGACGCCGGAAAGGGCAACGAGGATAAATCGTTAAATTGTGTGTTCCAAATTCCTGCCATTCCGCCTCCATGCCAAACTTCAAGGACCAATGTGCATGGCGCGAAGTGCCAATGCAGTCTTGTCTATGTATGTATGTGTATTTATATATGTGGATATGTGTGCACTTGCTCACGTACGTGGAGTATGGGCGTGATTGTATAAGTGAAGTAAACAGAAAGGGGCAGGGAGGGGAGGCTCACGGCGTCCTGGAATCAGAGAGCGAAGCGGGGACTATGGAGAGAGAGGGAGTATAATATAACAACCTATTAAGAGAGAGAGGGAGAGAGAGAGAGAGAGAGAGAGCGATAGATGGAGGGAGAGAGAGAACAGTAAAGAGATACAACGCGTGAGGCACTGAGTAATTGAGTGAGTGAAAGAAAGGGAGAGAGAGAGAGGGACGGCGATAGAAAGAGAGAGAGAGAGAGGGAGGGAGGGAGATGGGGAGAGAGAAAGAGAGAGAGAGAGAGGGAGAGGGAGAGGGAGGGAGAGGGAGAAGGCACGACGGAGAGGCAGACGTGCAGGGCCCGAGTCTGTGGCTCCATCCTCTCCTCCCCTCCCCGCCGGACGCGGCACCCGTGCCAGCGCCCGCCGGCGCCGCCGGGCATAATCGTGAGATGTCCAGTCGGCCTCGACTGCGTGCTTTCTTTATTCCCAACTTCAGAGCCCCGGATCATCAGGGGTAACTCGGGTCAGGGTTAACTCGGGTTCGTTTTTCGGGAATCCGAACCCGAGTTCTCCCGGACCCGAGTTACCCCGGATATTTCGGGCGTCCAGAGCCCCGAATCATCAGGGGTAACTCGGGTCAGGGCTAACTCGGGTTCGTTTTTCGGGAACCCAAACCCGAATTACCCCGGACCCGAGTTACCCCGGATAACTCGGGCGTCCAACAACTCTTCTGAAATCACAGTTGGGTGCTCTTCTTGCGCACTGCGGGTCCTTCAGAGTGCCAGTCAGCATCGAGTGGTCCTGAGTAGAATCGCCACATGTACAGAAAGGGTTGGGTACGTCACAGGGTCATTCCTCGTTTCGCCGGTCGGCGCGGGCCCCCAGACCCCCGCCACCCCTCCGCCACCGCAGACCAGATCTTGGCTGCTCCTGGTGGCTGCTTCTGGCGACTGGTCAGGGTCCCCCCCCCCCCGAGCATGCGTGCGCGGCGGTCAGAGGCAGATCGACAGAGCACCACCCGTCGGGCCACCTGTCGGAACCCGGGCTACGAAAACGCAGCCACGCGGCGGAGTCGAGGCTAGCGCTCGGAAGCGCGGCGCGGGCGGGCCTGGCCTCAGCAGCAGCAGCAGCAGCAGCAGGGGCCCGCGGCGCTCTGCCGGAGGGAGCCGCGCAGCACGGCTCCCGGGGGGGGGGGGCGGCCGTGCGGGGGTGACGGGGGACAGGGTGCACAGCTACGCGTTTGAACAGAGCAGTGTGGTCGCCCCGGCCTCCTTCTTCTCCTCCCCCCTCCTCCCCTCCTCCTCTCTTGTTTTCAGAGCGTGAATTACCTACCCCGCTTTCGCTTCCAGGCAAAACCAAGTCATACCACGCGCCTCCTCGTCGAGCGGCCTGACCAGTACAGTCCGTGGTATGGCATCGCTTGGTATCTCTTGAAAGCGAGGGTGGTCAAAAGCGAGGTAGGTTTGTTTGCCCCCTATGTTTCCTGTGTTCCCCTCTCCTCTTCTCTCGTGCCGTCAGGCTGCCATCTGCGCAACCGTCGCCACGTTCGTGGGCTCCTGGGAGGCCCAGCGGAGGCGGGTCCCACGCGGACCACCTCGGGACCTCGCGGTGCCCTGGGGGGCTTGCGATCTGCACATCTACGCTTAAGTCGGGCCTGTCCCTCTACAGGGGGAATCTTCAAACTCAGCCTGGCGAAGGACCCAACCACATGCAGCTCTGCGAGCCGCAGTTGCAAATACCGTATTCCATGGAGCTCCTTGTGGGGCCGCGAAACGTGTGAGGGGTGTGCCGAAATGGGTGTGAGTGACGCATGCGGGCGCTGGCTGGGTCATTCGGTGGAGCTCCCTATGGGGCCACGATGCGTGTGAATGGTCTACCGAAATGGGTGTGGCGGACGCATGCGGGCTGCGCCACTGGAACCTTCGGTGGAGCTCCCTATGGGGCCACGAAACGTGTGGGGCGTGCGCCGACATGGGTGTGGCGGACGCGTGCGGGCGGTGGAGCCTCCAGTGGAGCTCCCTTGGGGCCACGATACGTGTGAGGGGTGTGCCGAAATGGGTGTGCGTGACGCATGCGGGCTGCGCCACTGGGACCTTCGGTGGAGCTCCCTATGGGGCCACGAAACGAGTGAAAGGTGTGCCGAAATGGGTGTGCGTGGCGCATGCGGGCTGCGCCACTGGGACCTTCGGTCTCCTTCATTTCGCGGTCATGATGCCCCCCTGCTTTCCACATTTCCCCCCTTGTGTCTGTCTGCGGCACAGCGCCGCACTCACTACCGCCGCCACCAACTACCCTCTCCGTCTCCACCTCTTGCTGTTATCATGTAGAATGGTTGTCGCAACAGATCTCCTGCCACACATCCGAATACGTGTGTCACCGGTGGCCCTTGGAGCGGTGCTCCAGGGGCCGCTTGGTCCTAGTTTGATCAACCTCCCTTGGGGCCGACCGGCCCTGGCGGGGGGCTACAAACGAGTTTTTTTCCAGCCGCCAGGAACCAGGAGGAGGAGGAGGAGCAGGAGGAGGAGGAGGAGGAGGAGGAGGAACACACGAGGATGAGCATAGAAAAGTATGAAGAGGAATCCCCATTCGTCTGCTGATTCATCCCTCGTTCCCTTTCGCGTTCTCTCCTTTTTTGCCTCTCCTGCTACCTCTCTTCCCTACATCCCTCTGTCCCCTCTGTTTCTCTCCATCCTTCCCTTTCCCGCGACCGCGACGACGCCGACCCCGACGCCGACGGCTCCGTCGACGTCGACGACCCCATCCTGTGCTAGTGGCCTCCAGGATTGCACGCTTGCCATGGGAACCGGATGCTGTTATCGGTGTTGATTAGATGCTGCTCGCGCGCAGCGCGCGTGATTCTAGTATCTAGTATGCACGTGCTTGAGTGTATAGGCAGGGGCTCCCTCGAGGGCACGAAGTTAGTCACGCTTCGCGGGTCGGCTCCGATTCCTCGTCCTCCTCTTCTCCCCTGGGAGGCGGCGCGAGAGCGCGAAGTTGTTCGCGCGTCGCGCGTCGCGCCGCGCGAAGCGCGACATGGGGAGCCCTTGCGTATGCGCATCCAGCGGAGAATCCAGACCAAAGGTCCAGCGCAGCAGATGCTCTTGTAGATTGGGGTGTTCCCCTTCCCCGGGGCGTACCCCCCGTGCTGCAAAAACAGGCGGAGTGTGTGTGCTTGTGTGTTTGAGCT